ATTTATTATGACAAAACCTATTGCCAATGTTTAAGCATGTTTAGAATGGATATTTCAGGCTTGAATATACAGCCACATAACAAATATAGAAAGGCTTTGATGTTTGCTTCTTTCACAGGATAATGGATGACATGACCCACCTCAAGTTTCTGACACATTATCTACAAACCATTAGAAACAGTTTTCTTACTTTCTAGAATTTAGTGGTTGAGGATCAGAAACTATATATGCAATATTACAATCAAGACACTTTATTAGCTGAATCCAAAGATCGCCCTTGCTTTAATCTCATATTTGTTTTTCTTAACTAGAAATTGTACAAATTCCCTTTGAGAATTTTAAAAACAGTTTACTGTAATGCATGGGAGCTGCTATTTGGGATAATAAACCTAAAGTCCACTTACAGCACAGAACATCCATACTTCTGAGCATGACCCATGAGTAGAAAAACCTGGCTAGGATCCCAAAAACATCCTTAATTAGTTCCACGTGCCTCATGCAGAAAGGAATAGGCTGTGTTTGTTCCTCCATTTCTACTCTGCATAGCAAATTGCTTATGAAAGTGAAATTACTTGAAAAAATAGCTTGTAACACCGTTTTGACATACTATGGATTCAGTGGTTCACAGTAAGGGGGGGAAAGAGGGGGAAATCCCACATGGCCCATTCTCAAGTATCTAAATTCATTTTTGGAGCTTGAGTTTTACAAATAAACAAATCTTGTTTTTTTGCACCGCTATATATAGAGTACTTCAATATAATTTAATTAATATAAGCAATTAAACAATTGTTACTACATTCCAAACTTGTTTTAGCTTTTCTTTATTAGTATATAGCCTCTATTCTTTTGATGTGTATTTTGAATACCTATCTTTATTTACTGTAAAAGCTAAAAAGGTTAAACAAATGCTTAATGACTAAAATGTTAGTCATGTAATTTGTTATTTTTTTAGTCAATACTCTATATCCAGTTTTAAAAGCAAAATTTAAATATAAATGCATTAATTTCCAAATGGATTGACATAATACCCTACCCTTCCTACCTGTCTTGAAAATAAGTCTTTAGGCATATAATAAAATACTTTACTGAAAAGATGTAAACACTGTACAGTAACTACTTCAATAGTACTCATATTCTGTGGCCCTCAACATGTCTATTGTTGCCTGAGATTAAAAAAAAAAACACTTGATGGACTAAGAATTTGCCAGTTGTTTTATTTAATAACTATAGAGATTAAAATTTAGGGAAGCAACTATTTTAAATATACCCCAAATTAAATATGCTATCTTGAAAATATTAACAAGTTGGCAGTGACAGCCTTAATAAGCTAAACATATTCTATCTTAGAAATTTCTAGGAATTAGGTTTGTAAAAAGAAAACACCACTGGAACTTTGGCTCTGATGCATGCATCATCTTGCAGGATCATTACAATAGAGTTTTTATTCTGGGGTGGTATAGCCTATATAAATTTTTAATTCTAGTTTACAGTATTATAGGAAGGCCCACACATTTAAACCATAAAATTACCAAGCTATAAAAACTAATTTTGCTTCAACTCTAGTAAATACAGAAAGACATTTTAATTATTAAAAATTGTATCACTAGGAGTAACATATGCACCTATTTATACATGAAGTACAATTTATTGTATAAATGTTGTAGTTGCCTCTATCTTGACATGTAGGGAAATTCCCCGGAACCTGATTATTTTACGCATTGGAAAAATATTGATGTAAACATCTGAAAGTTCACTAGATGTCTTGAACATCCATTTATATTAGTTCAGATCCAAAGCAGACAGAAAAGCAAGCAAAAATATCTCTTCCCATTATAGAAACCCACCTAACCTGTTAATCAGCTACCTTTAATGAACTGAATCTGCTAACAGTAGACAGCACTCTCTATATCTCAAATATCTGAAGTTTTACTGCTGTTACTACTATTTTATCATTCTTGACACTTTCTCACAGTATTGGAGCAAGCATTTTCAATATAAGCCAAAAACATTTTTTTTAAAAAGCTCATATATACTGAATAACTTCATTTGGTCCTCTCTCTCCCACAGTTCTGTCTTCTTAATAGAAGTTTGCATTAATTCTATTCCTAATCAAATTTCTGCTTGCACAAAATGCATGGAAAAGTAGCCTTCAAAGTATTTTAGCGAATTGGGAAAAACAGATACAAATGTTAAAAAAGTGCTCAAAAAGAAATTAATTATATATATATATATATATATATATATATATATATATATATATATATCACACACACATTGTATTTCAAGATGGAATTGAGAAGCATTACATACACACACATTGTATTTCAAGATGGAATTGAGAAGCATTTGTCCCTTGCATTCATCATTCATAAAAGGGAAGTGTCTTCCTTTAGATGAGGTCAAGGCCAAACTGCTTATTAGAGGGTTCCTGAAAAGACTGGGATGCCCATTATTATTTCCTTTTATTTTTTGGCACTTTCATGATATGTGGCTGTTTTACCTGTTGTCCCTGCTAAGCTTCGGTAACTGGCTCGGTGTACAAGCACTTTTGAAACAGGGATTTTTGTTCTAGGGATCTCACTTTTGGTAGCCTGGTGGTGTACAATGTGATGGCTATTACTGGAATCCTGGCCATGGCTACTATGTGGCGATGTAAAATGCTTGATACTGATGGGTATCTTGGAATCCTTGAGTGAAGTTGTATGGGTTTTGACTGGACATGTAGTTGTTATCGGAGATAATGGCTTGCAACAAGTCACTGTGGTGATATTTTCTGCAGAAGTCACAGTTGCTGTGTTTTCATCTGGATCAGTATATAGATCATAGAGAGCATCCCCACTGTAGCTGTCCCTGGGAATTACCTCTTTCTGAATACTATTAGTATTGTCTTCTTCAGGTCCAGGTGTAGTAGAATCCCAATAGCCCTCATCACTGCTGGGGATGGCTTCTTGCTGCTCCTTTTCTCTATTTTTTTGGTCTTCTTTCTGGTGGTGAACTGGAATCTGGCTAAGACCAATGTGCTTTCCATTTGCTGACCCATCCTGAACTCTCCTGACAATCTTATCACCTTTGGAGGTCTCAGGGGATTCCTTCCTTCCTGATGTCCCCTGTGATTTCTCTTCAGTGTGCGACAATAAATCCCAGAACTCCTGAGTACCTCCCACCTGTTCAGGGCTGGCCATCTCCTCTCCTCCTCCCTGGTAAGTCACCACACCGGTAGGCTTCTTGGAGGGCCCAGCTTTGCCAATCCCAGGGGCACTCCTCTCACTTCCACCTCCACCACTGCCACCGCCGCTGCCCACGTCATCTTCCTGGTCAGCAATAATGTCCCCACAGCCTGTAAGAGAGTCAAAGCTTTTCAGTGAAGTCACGTCAGCAAACATCAAACAAATACGGTCAATAGACGGCTCAGAGGGTGGATCAAGAGAGGAAGGGTCAGGGGCTGCTGCCGTCTCTTGGCTGCGTTCATACTTGGGTTCAACAGGGGGGGGAAGACTTGATGGGGAGGTCACCTGTTTTAGCCGAGTCCTCCTTGATCTCTTGGCCATCACTACTGGTGGATTCAGGATGGATCTCTTTCTCCTGGGGCAGAATCCCGGGAAGCTCCTCTCCTCCGGAGCCACATGGGGCCGGTTGCGGTGCCAGGTCCGGGGTGGGCATGACCTCAGTGGCAAGGGGACTCGTGGGTTGTTCTCCATCCTTAGTGACCAGGGGGGTCCGGACGGTGTCAGTGGGCGCTCCTGGCGGCGGTGCCTCCTCTTTGATGCACTCCAGGCTGGCCGTGAGGGAGCCCGTATTGAGGATGCTGGGACTGGCCTGGCCCTCGGAGCTTTCGCCGGCCTCGTCGTCCTTCACCCCGCCGCCCGGCTTCTCCCGGCGGGACCACCGCATGCTGCTGAAGAGCCCTTTGAGGCCCCCGCGCCCTTTGGCTCTCTCGCCTTTGCCGCCTTCGTCGGAGCGGCCGTTTTTACGCAACAGCGAGAAGAAGCTGTGCGACTTGCCCGCCGCCGCCGCCGCCGAGGATGAGCAGGAAGAGGCGGCTTCCTTGGCGGCCACCGAGGCGCCCCCGCTATCCGCCACACGGCCGCTCTCGACAGTCCCTGGGCCCTCGTTCTTGCCGCTCTCCAGCTCCAGCACCTCAGCCAGGCCGTCGTGGGTCTTGCTCCTCACCATGCCCGTTCCCTGCCCGCCGCCGCCGCCGCCTTCGCCGCTTTTGCTTTTGCCGCTGCTCCTCACACCGAAGATGCTTGGCATGGCGCCCCCGGATTTCCTTCGCTTAAACAATTTGAAAGCGGTTTTGTTCAGCTTGCCCGAGGGCGGCGGCGGCGGCGGCGGCTGCTCTCCCAGCGCGGTGGGTTCGCCACCATCGCAGTGCGCGTCCATGGCGGCCGCGGCGGCGCTGCCTTCCCCTCCTGCAGCCCCCACGGACGCCTGCGCCTGATTTCCGCCGCTCGCTCGCTCGGCTAGCTCTCACTGACAGCCTCGACGCCGCCGCTGCTGCTCTGCCTGCAGCCCGTCACCATGGCAACCCAGGCAGGGCTGAGCAGCTTGCCTCCGCGCCGGGCCTGGGCCTGCGCCAGACTCCGCCGTCCATGGCGGCCAACCTGAGCCACAACAGCCCCCGTCTGAGCCGCGAAGAGGGGCCGGGGGAAAAGGGGGCGGCTCCTTTCCCTGCCTTCGCCCGTACGATGAGGGGGGAAGAGAGGCTGGTTTAACTTAATCCACTCGCGGAGGCTGGGACTGCGGCTGCTCATTCGCTCAGCCTCGGGGTCTGCGTGAGGAACGCGGGCTGGGGGCGGGTGATTTGGAGCATACGAAGCTCTGGCTAACGAAGCAAGAAACATGGCTCCGGCTCCTCAGGGGCCTGTGTGTTAAGGGGGACCCTCTCTCCAGGACTCTTCATCCGCTGAGGGCACAGTTTTCTACCGGCGAGGCGGGGCTGATGGTGGGAGACGGACACAAAGGAGGGTACCCTGTCCCGTTCAATCTCTACCTTCGAAAGTCCCCCCTAAGAGCAGCGACTTTTTTTTTTTAATTTGATTTATATGCCGCCCTTCTCCGGAGACTCAGGGCGGCTTACAATGCGTTAAGCAATGGCCTTCATACTTTTGTATATTTATACAAAGTCAGCTTATTGCCCCCACAAACTGGGTCCTCATTTCACCTACCTTAGAAAGGATGGAAGGCTGAGCCAACCTTGAGCCTGGTGAGATTCGAACTTGCAGACAGCTGGTATTAATCACAATGCTTTTTTAGTCTGCTGAGCCACCAGGCCCCTCTTCTTTGGAGAGAAGCTGCTGCTGAACCCTAATTTTCCATTCTAACCTCCTCCCTTCCAACTTTGAAGCTGAATATTCATTCAGGCGGAACAAAGCGGAGGTTGCCAGAGCCAGTTTGGTCCAGAGATTCAAGGCACCAAGGTAGAAATCGGGAGGCAGTGAGTTCTAATTCTACTTTAGGAATGAAAGCCAGTTGGGTGACTTTGAGCTAGTCATTCTCTCTCAGCCCAACTCACCTCGCAGGGTGGTGGTTCTAAGGAAAATAAGAGGAAGAAGGAGGATTAGGTTTGCCACCTTTTATAAAAGGAATAAAGGTGGGATAAAAAAAACAATGCAGATGTTTAAAACTTACTACGGACTAAGCTGGGTGACAAGCTTGGATAGAGAATGGTACAGTTCTTTGAAAGAAACACATTTTACAGATAGTCCCTGATTTACAGGACACAGTTAAGACTAGAATTTCCCTTGCTAGGCAAGGCAGTTGTTAAGGGAGTCACACTTTTGCCACGGTTGTTAAGCAACATCGCTGCAGACGTTAAGTGAATCACATAGTGATTAAAGAAATCCAGCTCCCCCCTCATTGACTTTGCATTTGGAAGCTGGCTGGGACGATTGCAAAATGGCAATAATCCCAGGATGCTGCAGCTGTGTAAATACATGTCATTTGCCAAGCACCCAAATTATGATCACTTGACTGGGGAAACTGCAACAGTCATAAGTATAAAAAGCGGTCGCTTTTTCAGTGCCATTGTTACTTGGAACAGTTGCTAAATGTTTGTAAGTCAAGAGTACCTTATACTTCAAAATACAGCATAAAAACCCCAAATGCATTTCATAACTATTTAGGCAATTAATCAGAGGTTCTGGAGTGGTTAAAACAGGTTTTATAGCAAAAATAGTAAATTGATTGCATCAAGCTGATGCAAAATGCAAAAAAAAAAATTGGTTTTGACTCAACCTAATTTTTTTATTTCAGGAACAGCAGCTGGGCCATGTTTTTTGTATCAGAACTATGTAAAAGAAAGGAGCGGAACTCTGCCCACCCTGAGCATCATTTGCTGCATTAAATTGTGATAGCTTTCCTCTGTCTTGATGCTTTTAAGATAGAAACAAAAATCTCTGGAGATCCAATTAACATCTCCCATGTGTCACACAAGAATTCTCATTGCCCCCAAATCCTTTTAAGAACCAGGTATGTTTTGCATTCATTGGCTGTTGTCATGGGTGATTCTGCTTTCCTGCAAATATTTTATCCATGTCACTTTGTCAGAAATTATTTTGAGATCTGCAGTTAGGCTTGTCACCATGATGTTACTTATATAACTCTAAAAATGCAAGTTCGGATAAATTAAATTACTATGTGAACCTATATGCCTATATTTAATACGTGAGTTTTGCTTATGCCGTGCTTATGGACAATTATGAATATATTTTACATGTGTCAATTATATAAAAGACTGCTTTCTAGTTGAATATTTTGATAAATGTTAAAATAACATCATAATAACCCCTAGGCATGTTGTATTAAAGCTGGTAATTATTTTTTATTTTAAAAAAAGTCTTTGGATGCTTACTTAAAAGCTTGCGCTTGCACTTGCACTAATTCATCTTAAGAGGTATGCAGAATAGTGATTTTGCCTCTTGGTAAGCTAACAGTGGATAGGAAATGTTTGAGAAATATAACAAGAATAAAGAATAAGGCAATGTACAACAATAGCTACCCACAACATTTCCATTATTTTTCCTTTATGTTTTATTCTGCTCCCTCCCTTTGCTTATCAAAGTAAAGCAAACATGTTACATAAGTAAATCAAATAGAACATACTGTACACAGCAAAAGTATATTTATTTTAAAAGCTGAATGAACAAACATTTAATACAATTACAGTATGCAATGCACTGTAAGAGGAAAAAAGAGGAAGAAAATTGAATGAATTTTAATCCAATAAACCTATATGCCCGAGACTTAACTTGATTTGGTTCCTACAATCCTAGTCCAATGTCTTTATCAGCACACCACTCTGGCTGTATATCAATTTAAACCAGCTCTTTTCAAATTTGGCAACTTTTAAGATGTGTGGAGTTCAACTCTCAAAATTCCCAGCCAGTATGATAGTTTAAAAGGAGATTAGTACAGGCAAGTAATGCTAGTTTTGAAACTAGCTTCTTGAAAATGACAAGCAATACATCTTAAAACCAGCTAGGAGTGTCTAATGTAGTTTTTCATGTGAGTTCTTGTGCCCCAATGCACTCAGAGCTATTTATTCTCATTTGTTCCAATTAAACTATTTAGAAAATGGAATAGTGGTAAATTTGAAGCAGAAAATCTCACTGGTTTTGATCCCTATGACATTCTAGAAGTTTTGCTGAGCTGTTTAACCATGCTTTGCCAGAAACAAAGGTTGGAACATTTTGCTTGTTTGAATTTGGGCTAAAACAAAATCTCCAGATATGTCAGTGTCATTTTATGGAGCAATTAGGAAAAAGCTGGTGCACATCTCTACCTCTTTCCTTCTTCCCTGCATGCTCAGTGACCTGGCACCCTTCCCCACCCCCATTTCTATTTTCTTCTTTATATAAAGTGTTTGATAAAGTTTTTTTAACAAGAGAAAAAGGGGAGCTATCTGATTTGTACAATGTGTTTCAGAGAGTGGGTGCCACAACTGAAGGTATGCTACCATGGCAATTAGATTTTTTTAAAAAAACTTTTTATGTAAAGAAAAATGTATGAGTGGAAAAAGGATCATATCTTGGTAGTAGAACAGTATGTACAAGGTGCAAGATTAGAGCCCTAATATTTCCTGTAAAAAGGGTCAGATAGCAGGAAATGAAAAAAAACAACCTCTGCCTGATATGCTGAATTTGCTGTTCTGGTTAGGCTGGAAAGAATACTGATTCAATTGAACAAATATTTGCAGTAAGCATACATAAAGGGGTTATTAATAGAATATATCCTGTGCATGTGAGCAGTCATAAGATCTTTTAACATAGATTGCTTTTGTTAACATAATCAAAGTACTTTGAGAATGGAAGACCTACTCCATGCTATTAGGCAAGGAGCACTACAGATGCAGTATTTAAAATCTGGGTCAGAGAGAAGGCTTTGTGAATATGTTAAAGCGGCTTGTTTTGTGTTTTTTCTCTTTGGGGAAGAAAAGACATCTAATGTTTGGTCTAGAGCCTAGTATGTAATACTCTGTACCAACAACCCATCCACAGCTGCCACATTACATAAGGCAGATATTCAGACAAACTATTATATCACAATCTGAGTAAACAGAAGCTTATGTTGAAGAAGCAAACAAAGAAAAACCCAGTTAGGAATCTAGTTGGAAACCACGCAAGTTTCCAAACAACAAAATGCTATGACACAGTTGATAGAATTAAATGCTTTTGTAAAGGGATTATCTCCTTGAACTATGTATCTCTCCATTTTATTGAGCCACCCAGCAAAGTATCTTGCAAACCCTCCATTCACTGTGTCTTTGCAGGTGAGCTTCTCTATGGTACTGGTGAATATTCAACTTTCCACAGCATCTTCTCCATAATATTCCACCAAGATAGGCTAAGAAATTGATAGGCAGATGAGAGGCAGTTTATGGATGAGTCCTATCAGGCAAACAGGCTCTGACTACTGCAATGGGATGCCAGGGCTCAGCCTTTATAACATGGATCTAATTATATTATCCATAATGACACAAAACTGTACTGAACAATATAGCTGCCGAGTGTTATTCTATAAGAAGTTTGTTATGCTATAAGAAGTTTGCAGTTGGCTGTGGTCCAGCTCTAGCAATAATTTAAAGGAACACAAATGTCAATATATCACAGAGCTAGAAAGAGAGTACACATACATATACACTACACAAAGCGTTTCTTTATTACCTTTTATCTCCTGTTTTGAATAGTTTAGTACAGAATGCTTCAAGACACAATTTGCACATCCTTGGGTTAAAAAGAAAAACAAAGAAGGGATTGTTTTCAAGCTGACTGAGAAGACTTGACTTTGTCCCACTTCTGCCATGAGTGCTGAATGGATCTATGGGTACATTATCTTTTAGCCCTTCTTAATAAAATGCCATTGATGTATCATGACAAAAGGAGGGTTCAGAGTTGCATAATATTTACATTATGGGAATGCAAATTTAGAAATGCATTGCTATGCTGTGAGTGGAAATAAGACACCTTATTATAAGAAGACAAATTGCAACCAGGAGAACCGTATGCCTGTGCAACTTTTGTGGATGAACAACTCCAGGATCCTCCTTTCTATTTTTAGGATTTTTTAGATTAGAATTGGCCTATACAGCCCTTTAAATACAATAGTTTTAGGTTTGCAGCTATCAGTTTCCTATCAACATGGCTATTGGTAAGAATTCTGGTAGCTGCAGTCTCAATAAATCTGGATGACACTATATTAGGAAGGCTGAAATATAAGATACCTTTCTCTATAATACAGGACATCTAATTGCTAAAAGATGGCAGTCAACCAGAAATCAACTAGATTTTCCTGGAAACCAAGTTCATGAACTCTATTTAGTTTTTATGTCACCATCTAAAATGAAATAGCTCCAGATCCGTAGTAGATTGTCTGTTTATTGCATGTATTTGTGTGTGTGTGTGTGTGTGTGCACATGCATGTCCACAAGCATGCTACTCTTTTAACCCTTAATTTTCAGATATAGGGCATAAATGGTATATGTGTAGGAAGGAATTGGCAAAGTATCTTGGGCTCTTGAGGAAATGATGAAATATAATAAATAAATACAAGTCCAGATAATATACAGTAGTGTCTTTATTTTTCATCCTAACTTAAGCTATTGCAGTGTCAATGAGACAAAGTAGGAAGGTCTGTGGAATTCATAGCTCAGCAGTGGTGACAAAGATGGTTTTAAAATGAATCTAGATTTAAAACATCATACATTTTATGTCAATTGCAAACAGAGATATTAGTTTTTAATTAATTTATTATTAATTAATTTTAATTAATAATATAATGACCTATATATTATCATTCTGAGAACTGAGCTCTGAAAGAACTAAAATGCCCAACTCCTGATTTATTTCCACAAGGATTACTGTTTAGGATTTTCATTTTAACTAGATGGAAGAGACAAAAGAGTCAACAAACATTCCCCCCATTCCAATTGCAACTTGTAAGACTTATGCAAATCAATCCACTGTTAACAGATGCTTGAAACAGATAAATGATTGTACATATTAAGTTCCTACTATTAGTGGAAGCTTCTTATAATGCATTCTGTTGCAGTGCTTCTGACTTGTAGATTAGGATTCTCACTTGTAGGTTAGGATACTGGGCCAGAGTTCTAGAAGCTAAGCACATAGAATCAGAGAGTTTGAAGGACTACTTAAGCCATTCAGTATACTATGTATACTGTGGACCATTATATTACAATCATAGTTAACTTAATCTATCATGTTCAACATAATTTATATAGCTTAGGTACCTTACTTGATCTCTTTCATTTGTAACAGGAGAATGATTATTTTTCTGCCATGAAGCAGGCATGAAAGTCCTTGATAGTGAGTTTATGAAAACTTGAAGCAGCATTCTTTAATAAATGCAAGTTATTGAAAAAAACCATTGTTTTTGAATAATTGATCATTGCTTTTAATTATGTGGAATCATTTCAAAGCATTACTGGATTTGTCATTTATAGAACCAACAAAAATAACATTATGATCTTGTTATAATCTATATAGTACTAAAAACTCTTCTGTCTGTTTGTTTGTAATCTTCAATTAGCCCAAGTAGTTCCTATCACAACAATTTTTTGCATCAAGATACCTCATATCTGCTAACATGAAGAATTGGTACAAAAAAACAGCACAGATTAACCCTGTGGAATTTAAATTTTAAGGCTTTTCAGATCAGTTGCATTCACAAAATTGTGACCTCTGCCACAGTCAGCTGAGGACCTGTGATTGTTATTTCTGACACTCCCTACAAGCTGCCAATAAGCAAAGTTAATGGAGAAGCCAGCAGGAAGTTGGAAGTCACTCCTGTTAGATTATATCACAATAATTTTTGACTCAAACTGCTATGATCCTGGAACAGTGGAATTGAAATTTTCACACATCAGGGCACTTTACTTCGCAATGTTCTAACCATTGCAGTATCCCCACAGTCACCTAACATAGATACTTGTCTGTGATGTTGACAAGCATTCG